GGCTGTGTGGTTCCTGCTCAGCAAACAGCATGAGTCATTTTCAAGCAAGGAAACACCCCCTTACTGCTGCAGGCGGGGCATAGTGTGAATTCAGGAAATTGAAACTAACCCTGATCCACTGCCCAGAGGGAGCCATGGCTGCAGAGAACCCCGTGGAAAGTCTCCAGGAGGAAGCTACATGTCCCGTCTGTCTGGACTATTTCACAGAACCTGTGAGTCTGGAGTGTGGGCATAATTTCTGCCGAGCCTGCATCAGCCAGTGCTGGGAGGGATCCGATACAGCCGCCTCGTGCCCTCAGTGCAGAGAAACTGTGCAACAGAGAAACCTCAGGCCCAACAGGCAGCTGGCAAATATCATAGAAATCGCCAAGCGGCTGAGTTTACAGGCAGCGAAAGGAGCAGGAGGGGATGGGGTGTGTGGGGAACACCAGGAGGCTCTGAAACTGTTCTGTGAAGAGGATGAAACCCCCATCTGTGTGGTGTGCGACAGATCCCGGGCTCACCGCGCTCACACGGTGGTTCCCATACAGGAAGCTGCCCAGGAGTACAAGGTAGGGAATTGCTGTCAGATTGAATGGGTTAACTTTTGGGTTTTAATGATAGGCTAATTTCACTGAAAGTTACCTGTCATGGGTGTGACTCATCACTCAGCTCTGTAAAGTCTTCATTGTACAGGAGATGATATAACAAAATTAATGATCTGCCAGTGTGATAACAGAGGCAAAATATCAGGTCTTGAAAGTAGGATCTACCCCACCCCTTCCCCAAGGCCTCTCCCATTCCCCACCCCCGAAGCCCGACTCACTCCATACCCCCCTCTCTCCATTTCTCGCTCTCCCCAACCCTCACTCACTTTCACCGGTCTGGGGCAGGAGGTTGGGGTTCAGGTGTGGGGGCAGACTCTTGGCTAAGGACAAGAGGTTTGCATGTGGGAGGGGGCTCTGCACGGAGCCTTGCTCAGGATGTTGGGGTGCAGGAGGGGGTGAGGGGTGCAAGCTCTGGGAGGGAGTTTGGGTGCAGGAGGGGGCTCCAGGCTGGGGCAGTCTGTTGGGGTGCAGGAATGGGTATGGGGTGCTGGCCCTGGGAGGAGGGCAGGGGGTTAGGTTGCAGGAGGGGGCCTGGGATGCAGGAGATGGTGTGGGGTGTTGCGTGATGGGGGGATATGGGGTTTGGCTCCAGCTGGGCAGCACTGACTTACCTCAGGAGGCCCCCAGTCAGTGGTGCAGTGGGGCTAATACAGGCTCCCTGCCTGCCCCAGCCATTCGCCACTCCTGGAAGGGGCCAACATACCCCTGTGGCCCGGGGATAGGCATGTGGCTCTGTGTGCTGCCCCTCTCTGCAGGCACCGCTCCCGCAGCTCTCACTGGCCACAGTTCCCCATTCCCGGCCAATGGGAGCTGCGGGAGCGGTGACTGCAGGCAGTGCAAGTAGCGCCGTGTGGCTGGGGCAGGCAGGCAACCCCGCTGTGCCACCGGAGATTGCGATCGACAGGGAAACTCTCCAGCATCGACTGGTAGGTGACCACTGGGCTAACTAGACAGAAGGTGGGAGGGGAAACTGAGGCACAAAGCAAGGCAGCGAGTTGCCCACAGTCACCCAGCAGTCAGTGACAGAGCTTAATATAGAACCCAGTTCTCCCCAGACCAAAACCCAAATCACTTTGCCATGCTGCCATCTTCGCATCACCCCACCCAGTGATGAAGTGTGTCCATTAGGAGGCAAAGATGCCTTGATAAAGGTCCCAGACCCAACAGGGAGAGGAGGTATCTCACTGGGATTCTAAACTCCCGTGTTGCTCCATGAG